GTAAATGCGGAAATATGGCCACATCTGCAATGACCTGTTAACAAGCGTAGTTAAATTACGCTGGTCCCATGTGCCGATGCGCTGTGTTTAATAAGCCAGGATAGGATTTGATTTGATTTGATTTGATTCAAGAACCGACATCACAGCACTCGGGGCATTCCCATAAGCACTCCGTCCCCATCTTCAGCAGCCAGCGAAGAGTTCCGATACTAATGGTACCAGTAGCATTCTGATTAAACGTCCATCTTGCCTTTCCTCTGAGCCTCGAGCATCTGCCAGAACCTCTCGTCACCCCCAACTGCATCAATCTCACCAGACTGTGGTGATCCATCTGCTCCTCCGAATTGTACACGCTCTCCCACAAGGCCCAGGAAAGGTATATCTTTATTAGCAATTAGTAGGTCCATTCTAAAATATTTCTCTCGCCACAGCACGCCTCAATGTCTCTTTCTCTAGCCAATTCTCCATTCTTATGTGCGGGAAAACGTAATGGTAGGGAGGCAGACCAAGAAAGACCTGGATACAGAACCTGACTGACTGGACAGGCCCTAGGCACGCAACCATGAAATCCATCTCATACCGTCCTCAAAGGTAAAGGGATCTGATCAGACAACAAACAGCAGCTGGTGACCCAACGACACGCAGTGTTACAGGACAATTGATGACAAAGATGTGCTTTTATAACCAGTGCATCTTGAATTTCTTGTCTCCACCTTCACAGAGGTCTGCCCCTGCCTCGTTTTCTAGAAACTGTATCTTCCATAACTGTTCTCTCCCAGTCACCATGACCTTTACCCTGGCCAAGATAGCACAGCTTTTAGAACAGGATGCTGTTTATGAGCAAGTTTTCCCTGATCCTCAGATCTTGCAGGATGTCCAGTTTTTTCTCCTAGTTTTTCAAGACCTTGCAGGATGTCCAGTTTTTTCTACTAGTTTTCCAAAATCTTGCAGAATGTCCAGTCTTCTCTCCCAGTTTTCCCTGATCGTCAGATCTTGTAGGAGGTCCAGTTTTTTCACCTAGTTTTCCATGATCTTGCAGAATGTCCAGTTTTTCTCCTAGTTTTCCACGATATTGCAGGATGTCCAGTTTTTTCTCCTAGTTTTCCGTGATCTTGCAGGATGTCCAGTTTTTTCTCCTAGTTTTTCATGATCTTGCAGGATGTCCAGTTTTCTCTCCTAGTTTTCCCTGATCCTCAGATCTTGCAGGATGTCCAGTTTTTTCTCCTAGTTTTCCGTGATCTTGCAGGATGTCAGTTTTGTCTCCTAGTTTTCCGTGATCTTGCAGGATGTCCAGTTTTTCTCCTAGTTTTCCGTGATCTTGCAGGATGTCCAGTTTTATATCCTAGTTTTCCCTGATCCTCAGATCTTGCAGGATGTCCAGTTTTGTCTCCTAGTTTTCCCTGTCCTCAGATCTTGCAGGATGTCCAGTTTTGTCTCCTAGTTTTCCGTGATCTTGCAGGATGTCCAGTTTTGTCTCCTAGTTTTCCCTGATCCTCAGATCTTGCAGGATGTCCAGTTTTTTCTCCTAGTTTTCCCTGATCCTCAGATCTTGCAGGATGTCCAGTTTTTTCTCCTAGTTTTCCCTGATCCTTAGATCTTGAAGGATGTCCAGTATTTTCTCCTAGTTTTCCGTGATCTTGCAGGATTTCCAGTTTTTTCTCCTAGTTTTCCGTGATCTTGCAGGATGTCCAGTTTTCTCTCCTAGTTTTCCCTGATCCTCAGATCTTGTAGGAGGTCCAGTTTTTTCTCCTAGTTTTCCGTGATCTTGCAGGATGTCCAGTTTTTCTCCTAGTTTTCCGTGATCTTGCAGGATGTCCTGTTTTTCTCCTAGTTTTCCGTGATCTTGCAGGATGTCCTGTTTTTCTCCTAGTTTTCCGTGATCTTGCAGGATGTCCTGTTTTTTGTTCCTAGTTTGCAGTGATCTTGCCACAATAGAGCCCCCGGATGTCCTGTTTTTCTCCTAGTTTTCCGTGATCTTGCAGGATGTCCTGTTTTTCTCCTAGTTTTCCGTGATCTTGCAGGATGTCCTGTTTTTCTCCTAGTTTTCCGTGATCTTGCAGGATGTCCTGTTTTTCTCCTAGTTTTCTGTGATCTTGCAGGAAGTACAGTTTTTCTCCCAGTTTTTTGTGATCTTGTAGGATGTGCAGTTTTTTTTCTCCTAGTTTTTCGTGATTCTCAGATCTTGTAGGATATCCAGTTTTTCTCCTAGTTTTCCGTAATCCTCAAATCTTGCTGGATGTCCAGTTCTCTTCTTTCTTTTTCTTTGTCCACAGTATTCTAGCATTTTTCTGGTGCATTTCAGTTCAAATGATACAATATTGTTTTGTTTCAATGATTAAAAAAAAGAGCCCACAACACACATCCAAAAGCTGCCACGGGAAAGACGCATGATCCAAAAATGTTTCACTTTTACTCGCGTACAGGTGCCATGCCATAGGTTCTTCATGCTGTTTAGTCTCTGCATTGTCAAAATGAGTCTACCTCTCACTTGTTTTGTGCAGACGCCAGTCTACTTTTGAGCAGACACCAGTCTACATTTGTGCAGACGCCAGTTTACTTTTTTGTGCAGACGCCAGTCTACTTTTAAGCAGACGCGTCTACATTTGTGCAGACGCCAGTTTACTTTATTGTGCAGACGCCAGTCTACATTTGAGCAGACGCCAGTCTACATTTGTGCAGACGCCAGTTTACTTTTTTGTGCAGACGCCAGTCTACATTTGTGCAGACGCCAGTTTACTTTTTTGTGCAGACGCCAGTCTACCTCTGACTTCTTTGTGCAGACGCCAGTCTACCTCTGACTTCTTTGTGCAGACGCCAGTCTACCTCTGACTTCTTTGTGCAGACGCCAGTCTACCTCTGACTTCTTTGTGAAGATGCCACCGCTGTTCACCACTGAGCCTAAATATATTCAAAATCCATGACATTTTGTTTCTCTTCCTTATCGTATTTTAATACGTGGCTGGTAAGATGTATTCATATGGAATTTTTTAAACATTAATTTGGGGCTAAAAAAAAAGGGTCATCTTATATGTGGATGTGTCATCTACATGGAAAAATAAATAGAACTTGTTAGAAGATGCAGCAGGTCTAGTCTTTTACCTTCCACAATAGAGCCTCCGGAATCCAAATGGGAAAATCCATCACCAACAATGGAACAACCTTATGTTCTTTAAGAGTTAACTTTTGTATGCCTGAAACCTTCTGTCAGCCTATAACTGGATTCTAGGGTAAATCTGTCAGAATTTTGTTCTTTTATTTAAAGTCTGGAAGGGAGGTAAATATGAAAACACAACAGTGCACGGCTAGTCTTATTCAGCTGGTGGCCTGCGGGTGGGAGGTCAAGCAAGTGACCCGCGGAACATTGTATTATGTTAATGATCTTTCTATGCTAGGCCTTCGGCCAGAGACCATCCTCCCAAATTGTGGCTCCTGAGTTAAGGGTCGTTGTATATCCCTGGTGTGGGGTATTAAGAAGTTCTATTTTAAAGATAAATGATAAAAGCTTAAAAAAAAAACATGCACGCACGCACGCACACACACTCTCTCATAACTTTTATAAAGTAAAAGTAAAGGACCTTTTTCCATGCCTTTAGACATGCAGGGCACACAGGGTTAGACCTATATTTTATAGACCGATCATCACAAAATGGGTGATGTGGTGAGCATACTCAAGGCTGGGTCAACCTGGGAGCCAAGGTTATTTCTGAAAAAGTCAGGCTCCACCAGGCAGCAAACCCACGACCTTCCGATCCGCAATTATACAGGGTCATCGAGAATGAATGAAGCGATTTTAAAATAAGGATGTAATAGATGTAGACATTTATAAGTCTTGGATTCAAACGCACACTCATTGTTTTTTTTTTTTTTTTTTATAAATTGTTTTGGCTTACAGATGGACACTGCTTAAATTGGGAACCAGGTAATATCTTGGGAAGCAAGGACAGCCAGTAAAAGGTCTAAGGACTACCTAGAACTTCAACTGGTCTAAGAAACATGGGTCGCGCTCCACGTGCTTGATATGCAAATGGATCGAATTGGGGCTCTTTACCTTTTAGTTAATCTAGTCAACCCATTTACTCTGTGAATGGTTTTAAAAAAAAAAGGAGGTTGTGAACCCATGGACATTTCTATTTAAAAAAAACCTTAAATCCTTGGTGGTGGTGCTTTGCTTAAAAATTTACAACAACATAAAATTTAAAAATAAAAATCATCACGTTTAATCAGCATCTCTAAACGGAGAGCTATTGGCTATAATTGTGATTAGGTTATGTGCGTACTGCCTGCTACCAAGAGCCCCAAAAAGGACTCCTGAAGTGTTGATACGATCAAAGTAGAAAGACCTAAACACTGTCCCAACGGGCAATGTTGCTGACTACCAACCCGGTCGCCGATGTCCTTTAAATCTTTAATTTTTTAAAAACAATTTATTTATCTACATTCCTAAACTTTTTTTTAAAATATAAACAAAAGGGGTAACCCAGAAACATGGACAGAGGAAGTGTTAAATAGAATCAACTCTATGGATCTAAAAACAATATGTATTGGGTGGCTCAAGCCGTGACCCCCTGACCTTTATCAATGAGGCTTACAGGAAAATGTCAGATCAAAATGGCTTTAGTTGCTGTTTTCATATCTTGGCCTATTAAGCATTGTGCTGGTGCCCATAGAACTAATGGCAATTAACTACACTTTTCAGGAACAGGTCACCGCCAAATAAATGCAGAAATATCAGTATTTACAGGACTGCTTCACAACTCGAAGTGACTAGATTTAAAAAATAATTAATAACTATGGATTGGGTCTAAAAAAATATGTGAAGGAGTTAAATATAGATAGATTTATAAAAATAAAAATAAAAAGAAAAGAACAAATCAAACTGGGTGGAAAGTAAGTGAACTAAAAGCAAAACTTCCGACAAAAACCAAACAAAATAAAATGGGAGGTAAACACAGCTGGCAGATGATACAAAATCTGGTGCAGGTCAAAGGTTAAGGTCTTACCGAAGTTTATCCAGGCTCCAGTAGTGGGTGGCTCCGTTCTTCATGTCTTGAACCTCTACAGCTACGATGGTCTTCGGAAAAGGTCTCATTTCATCTCGCTCCTCCGCAGGGAGAAGGTCCGGAGGAAGTGGTGAGTATAGTGTATCGGTCAGCAAGACAAATTGGAACTGAACCTGTGGAAATAGTGAGGTGGTGTTATGAGATGAGGTCATCTTTGGAAAGGTAGCAACATATATAACCTTTTCACTCCGATGACCTTAAAAAGACAAAACAGAACTCCCTATTTATCATTTTTCAGAAATCCCTAAACTAAAATTTCCTTAAAAATATAACAATTTTACATATGTCAAAAAAATCAATCTTGCACAAATACGATAAAGCACACAAACAGATTCTATACAGCAAGGCTATTCAACTAATCATCCGCATGGTGGCACTTTGTGTCACCGGTTGTTTATCACTCTGTGTGATATCCTGGTGGAATAAGATTTTTTTTCTTCTCTTCTTCTTCTTTGCGTTCGGTTTCGTATGCTCAGATCAGACCATCAGGTGGGTTGCCTCTATGAACTCGCATGTCAGTAGCAGGTCCTGCATGGTTCCCCAAAGCTTGCTCTGCACACTTTGCTCTTGAGGCTAGGTGTCTTTTCGAAGTTATAGGTAGAGTGGGCAGGTCTGCAGAATATGCTCTGTTGTTTGTAGTCCTGTTTGACAGGCACACTGTGGGGACTGTACAATCTTTATTTTATGCATGTGGTAGTTGAGCCTGAGACAAAACAGAGGAATTTAAGTATCTGGGAGCAATTTTCACATCTGACAGAAAACTGGACAGAGAAATTAGCTCCAGATGTGCCAAAGCTAATCAAGTAATGGGTCAACTATCTCCCCTGTTGACACACAAGCAGATACCTCGGAGTACTAAAGTAAATCTTATCAGAACTATTTTTTGGCCAATACTATGCTATCAGTGCCAAACCTGGACACTTACATCCTCCAATGAACGTAAAATTGTGACAACATAAAGTCATGGACTATCTCTCAGTCCTTAAGAAAGAGAATATAGGCTTTTGAGCTGAAATGCTATAGAAAGATTCTCAGAATATCTTGGACAAAAAAGAGGGGAAATACTGACATCTTGAAAGATCTGAACATCAAGGAAGATTGGCTAATAAAAAACAGCATCCTGTCTCGAAATATTTTGGTCATATCATTGGCCAAGACGGATTGGAAAAAAAATTATAGCAGAAGGCATAGTACCAGGAAGGAGGGGCAGGGGCCGACCAACACGAAGATGGGCACAGTGACTCCTTCAGTGTGAAAGTGCATGAGGTGGGAGAACTGGCGAGAGACCGAGTTTCTTTCAGGCAGACCGTGATGAGAGCGACGTTCTGCTAAGGACCTGCTACATGATGATGAGACATCTTGTAAACATGTCTTTACTGTGAGTCAGAAAAGAGGCTTTTGTGGGGAAAATGGTAGTTGTGTGGTTGATATTTCTGGTATACCATGATTTGATCTCATTAGCAATTTACTGTGCAAACTAAATAAATCAACTAATAGCACGCTCAGCGATAAGGATAACATCGTGCCAGCTGCCATATTGCCAGGTACCCATTTTTGTTGAACTAAGAGCTAAAGGCAAACTAATTTTTAATCCATGTGGCTTCTAACCGAAGATCTTCTGATCCAAGGCGATCGTCTGGTCACTATGGTTCCCAGAGTATTATATTCTTCTTCTTCTTCAGCATTCCGAGCCCTTGAGGTTCATTGCTGCAGATATCACCCGCCTCCACTCATTTCTCTCGTTGGCCTTCTTCAGCTTTCCGAGCCCTTGAGTTTCATTGCTGCAGATATCACCCGCCTCCACTCATTTCTCTCGTTGGCCTTCTTCAGCATTCCGAGCCCTTGAGTTTCATTGCTGCAGATATCACCTGCCTTCATTCATCTCTCTGGTTGGCTTTCTTCTTCAGCATTCCGAGCCCTTGAGTTTCATTGCTGCAGATATCATCAGCCTCCATTTATCTCTCTGGTTGGCCTTCTCGTTCCAGTTGAGCGACACCAAGTGTTTGCAGGTCTGTGTGGACGTTATCTCTCCATCGTCTTCTTGGTCTGCCTCATGGTCTACGACCATTCATCTCCCTGGTATATATAGTTTTTTACTTCTCTGTCATGTGACATTCTCTCAATATGCCCCAACCATTGTAGTCTATTAGCTCGCATGATGCCAGTTATCAATGGTGATTTAAACAGATTATGAATTTCATTGCTGCTCTTCACTCTCCATTCCTTGCTGTTTGCATCTTTGATGGGTCCAAAGAGTCGTCGTAAGACTGTTTTCACAAATTTTTCACAGATATGCAAACTATCCATAATTTACTTCCATATATCAGGAACGAGAGGATCTAACCCTACCTAAAAAAGTGTCAAAATAGACAGTGAAGACAGAGAGGAAGAGTAAAACTGTCTTACCTTTTTATTCAGTTCCACACTGATAGCGTTGGCCTCCTTGAGGAAGATGGCGTTGCCCCAGAGGTCATCCTGGTAGGGACAGTTGAACACAATGAACACAAAATATCGAAGTACAACAAAGTCATATTTAACTCTTAACATCGAAGAATAAACTGCCTCGACAATCGTAACTCTAACATCGAAGAATAAACTGCCTCAACAGTGGACTTGGACTTCTAGTAATTCCCCCTGGTCACTGGGTAGTGACACTAGATGCCCGTGTGTATTGTTGTGATCGTAAAAAAAATCCATTGGCAGTTAGAAATCGAAAAGAGTAGCCTAGCGGCGCTGCCCGGGCAAAATTTGGAGTTAAAAAGCTACCCAAAATATTTTCGGATCCTCGCCGGTGCTACAGAGCCCGTGCACTGTGCTGAGCTTCTTTGGACTCAGACTTGAGTCGGAGCACTTATGGGTAACTACCTGTGTGCCATGATGATGTTCCAAACCTTCAAACTGTTATATAGACATAATATTCATTACTGATAACATAAAACTGTGGTCTGACAGATGAGTGTTAGCAAGGGATGAATGTAAGATAGGCTTGTATACCCAATTTGTAACCCTTTGAAAATAAAGTTTGTTTGTTCATTCATTCATTCATTCATTCATTCATTCATTCATTCATTCATTCATTCATTCATTCATTCATTCTCTCTCTCATACACACAAACACTCACGCAACCCTACCCTCAATGAAGTAAACTGGTGGTACTTCCACTTCCTGAAGGCCCAGGCTGCTAGATCTTTCTCCCTGTCGCTCCACTGAACTTCTGAAACCATTTACAGACCATTAGCGCTCAATCAAATATAACAGACAATCTTCAGACATCAACAATCAACCAAAACTGGCACAAGATGATTAACATTTTATGGACAGACCAGAGCAAGTTATTATTCTACGTCGTCGTAGAACAGGACACAATCAACTTCGCAGCCACATGTACACAGAATTTAAAATCAGTGAATCTGCCATGTACACATGTGGACTGGCACCTGAGACAACAGATCACGTCCTCCAAGACTGTCCCAAATACAACATTTCAAGGCAACACTTTTGGCCAAGAGAAACATCGGTGCAGGTCAAACTTTACGGGTCGCTGAGTGAATTAGAATTACAAAAGACAGTGAAGTTCATGTAAGAGACAAACATTGCAGATAGAGATAATTTATTTCAAGCGAACAAAAGAAGAAGAAGAAATCAATCGGTCAGGTGTAGGATAGCTGCAAAAGATCTCCAACACGCTTTGCCTCTTGTCCTTGTCCTGCTGCTCTTGACATCCTCCTCCCATATGTATCCTTGTCTATCTCTTGCTTGCTTGCTTGCCTCCATTAAGCTACAGAATAACATTTATAAGATTTTAAGAAAGCTGCAATATTGGATGAGATCATGCTTGACACGTCACTTTTTAAAAGGGGGTTTCAAAAGCCAATGGTATGAAAAAATTCCTAAATCCACCTACAATGCGTTCATTGGGCTCCTAGTAAGAACTTCAGGGTCTGAGTTTCATCCACCGGCTGTAAACCCTATTTGAAAGTTCTGGTTGTTCATCCACTTCTAGACTAGCGTTTTGTGAGCACATCCATTGACAGATCTGGCTCATCTGTTTGCATACTGTTGGTTGCTCGCCTCTCGGGCAGATGCACTCCGACTTCAAAGGAAAAACTCCAATTAGTTAACTTTTTGATATGTTGGGGGATGGTAGGTCTATTCTTTATTCTGCCAAAAGAAACAAGGCAATGAAACCCACACGGGGAAGGCCTCAGTTCAATTTCCATCTTGCCTCTTCTGACAGTCAATGAGATCTGCAGGTTTTATACCTGTGGTCAGTCTCTCTCTGCAATGGAGCAGATCACCCATGAGAGCATCTCACAAAACACAAACTGTGCAGCTTCCACAACAACCTTCCAAGAAAAGGTCTAGCCTTCCACCATAGCAGATGCCCAAAACAACAAATAGTTACAGAATTACCTTCTTCCTCCTCCTCTTCTTCAAAGATGCCAGTCGTAGCCACGCTTGAGATCATTGAGTGTCGCTCAACTTGTTCCTGCAGGGTTTGGATTCGGTTCTCGTAATCCTGATAGAGGATTGAATAAACAGAAGATAAAGATTGAAGACAAAGATTGAAAATAAAGATTGATGACAGACTAGAGACAAAGACTGAATATGATGATGACAAAGACTGAAGATAAAGATTGAAGACAAATATTAAAGACAAAGATTGAAGACAAATATTAAAGATAAAGATTGAAGACAAATATTAAAGATAAAGATTGAAGACAAATATTAAAGATAAAACAAATATTAAAGATAAAGATTGAAAGATAAAGATTGAAGACAAATATTAAAGATAAAGATTGAAGACAAATATTAAAGATAAAGATTGAAGACAAATATTAAAGATAAAGATTGAAGACAAATATTAAAGATAAAGATTGAAGACAAATATTAAAGATAAAGATTGAAGACAAATATTAAAGATGATTGAAGACAAAGAGATAAAGATTGAAGACAAATATTAGATAAAGATTGAAGACAGACAAAGAGTGAAGACAAATATTAAAGAAGATTGAAGACAAATTAAAGATAAAGATGAAGACAAATATTAAAGAGTTGAAGACAAATATTAAAGATAAAGATTGAAGACAAATATTAAAGATAAAGAGTGAAATATTAAAGACAAAGATTGAAGACAAATATTACAAGATTGAAGACAAATATTAAAGATAAAGATTGACAAAGAGTAAAGACAAATATTAAAGAGTGAAGACAAATATTAAAGATTGAAGACAAAGATTGAAGATAAAGATTGAAGACAAATATTAAAGACAAAGATTGAAGACACAGCTTACAAAAACTGCAGGAATGATTAAAGCTAAATACTAAAGATAAAAAGCAAAGACAAAGAGTGCAGACAAAGAGTGAAGACAAAGAGTGAAGACAAAGAGTGAAGACAAAGAGTGAAGACAAAGAGTGAAGACAAAGAGTGCAGACAAAGAGTAAAGACAAAGAGTGAAGACAAAGAGTGAAGACAAAGATTGAAGACAAAGAGTAAAGACAAAGAGTGAAGACAAAGATTGAAGACAAAGAGTAAAGACAAAGAGTGAAGACAAAGAGTACAGACAAAGAGTGAAGACAAAGAGTGCAGACAAAGAGTGAAGACAAAGAGTGCAGACAAAGAGTGAAGACAAAGAGTGCAGACAAAGAGTGAAGACAAAGAGTGCAGACAAAGAGTGAAGACAAAGAGTGCAGACAAAGAGTAAAGACAAAGAGTAAAGACAAAGAGTGCAGACAAAGATTGAAGACAAAGAGTAAAGACAAAGAGTGCAGACAAAGATTGAAGACAAAGAGTAAAGACAAAGAGTAAAGACAAAGATTGAAGACAAAAAGTGAAGACAAAGAGTGAAGACAAAGAGTGAAGACAAAGATTGAAGACAAAGAGTAAAGACAAAGATTGAAGACAAAGAGTGAAGACAAAGAGTGAAGACAAAGAGTGAAGACAAAGAGTGAAGACAAAGAGTGAAGACAAAGAGTGAAGACAAAGAGTGAAGACAAAGAGTAAAGACAAAGAGTGAAGACAAAGAGTGAAGACAAATAGTGAAGACAAAGAGTAAAGACAAAGATTGAAGACAAAGAGTGAAGACAAAGAGTGAAGACAAAGAGTGAAGACAAAGAGTGAAGACAAAGAGTGAAGACAAAGAGGTAAGACAAAGAGTGAAGACAAAGAGTGCAGACAAAGAGGTAAGATAAAGAGTGCAGACAAAGAGTGAAGACAAAGAGTGAAGACAAAGAGTGAAGACAAAGAGTGAAGACAAAAGAGTGCAGACAAAGAGTGCAGACAAAGAGTGCAGACAAAGAGTGCAGACAAAGAGTGAAGACAAAGAGTGCAGACAAAAGAGTGCAGACAAAGAGTGAAGACAAAAGAGTGAAGACAAAGAGTGAAGACAAAGAGTGAAGACAAAGAGTGAAGACAAAGAGTGAAGACAAAGAGTGAAGACAAAGAGTGAAGACAAAAGAGTGCAGACAAAGAGTGAAGACAAAGAGTGAAGACAAAGAGTGCAGACAAAGATTGAAGACAAAGAGTGCAGACAAAGAGTGCAGACAAAGAGTGAAGACAAAGAGTGCAGACAAAGAGTGCAGACAAAGAGTGCAGACAAAGAGTGCAGACAAAGAGTGCAGACAAAAGAGTGAAGACAAAGAGTGAAGACAAAGAGTGAAGACAAAGAATGAAGACAAAGAGTGAAGACAAAGAGTGAAGACAAAGAGTGAAGACAAAGAGTGAAGACAAAGAGGTAAGACAAATCCCCCTGTGGGGTCCAGGGCCCCATTGTGAGGAAAACAAGAATAGACCCACTGCCTACCCAAAAGCATGTCGTAAGAGTCGACTAATTGGGAGCTTCCTTCGAAGTCAGAGTGCATCTGCCTGAGAGGCAAGGAACCAACATTCTGCATGCAGACTAGTCAGACCTGTAAAACATATGTGCGTGCAATGCTTAGTTTTTAAGAACAGGACTAGAGTCCAGAAGTGGACGAACAACCAGAACTTTCTGCCGGAGTTTACAGCTGGTGAACGCGATGAAGAAAAAGTGAAGACAAAAACTACATATAATACATAGATTAACCCTACCAGACCGCTGGCCCGATTTTCCGGGAATTTCCTAACCAGCCGCTATGCCGCTGGCCTCATTTTCCGGGAATTTCCTAACCTACCGCTATACCGCTGGCCCCATTTTCCGAGAATTTACATAGTACATGAAAAATATGTGCTAGAGACTAAAAATAACCAGCCAGTCGCCATCAGACTTCGTTGTTAGTCATTGCCAATGACTTCCAACGTGTGATGAGATTTCTTTGTGTGGTTTGATGTGAAAAAATTAGGAAAACTCTCAATGAAACGAGCGGCTTCGACAAGAAAGTGACGTAGGTCTAGGCTTTTCACAGTCCAACAGGTGATCGATACTTTGGTTAATTCAGACTGTGAATACGTTCATAAAGAATACGTTCCCAGTTAAAGTGAAACAGTCAGTGAGAGCTAGAGTGAGGAGGATAATTATTAAAATTATAGATTTAAAACCAGATCGATAGTAAGAGAAGGGGGCGTGTACCTCAAACAGCAACATCTGGTGCTTACTTTGTGAAACAAGACTGATCCTACTAGGTAGATTGGCACACAAAGGTGGATGATTGGCGCTAGATGAAAGGTAAACCTATTTTCTACAGTGTCTCCAAGTTTTATCTTATTCTAACCACTTGTTTGCATGTAACTAATTTTTGTGTACATCATGTTGGTTTTTTCGTGTTAGTGCCCAGGAGCTCAGGTTATAGGGACAGTTAGGTTCAGGGCCTCAGGTTATAGGGACACTTAGGTTCAGGGCCTCAGGTTATAGGGACAGTTAGGTTCAGGGCCTCAGGTTATAGGGACAGTTAGGTTCAGGGCCTCAGGTTATAGGGACAGTTAGGTTCAGGGCCTCAGGTTATAGAAACAGTTAGGTTCAGGGCCTCAGGTTATAGGGACAGTTAGGTTCAGGGCCTCAGGTTATAGGGACAAGTAGGTTCAGGGCCTCAGGTTATAGGGACAGTTAGGTTTAGGGCCCCAGGTCTGGTAGGGTTAAAGACAAAGATTAAAGATGCAGTCTATAGACACAGACTGAAGACAAATAGTGAAAACGAAGACTTAAGACAACAACTTGAGATAAAGATTAAAGACGAAGACTTAAGACAACAACTTGAGATAAAGATTAAAGACGAAGACTTAAGACAACAACTTGAGATAAAGATTAAAGACGAAGACTTAAGACAAAATCTATAGACACAGACTGAAGACAAAGACTCGTCACAAATCAGCAGGTCCTTTACAGAACGTCACTATTGTCACGGCATGCCAGAAAATCTCTCTTTCATAGCCAACGCATCTTCAATATCTCCTATACACCTCATTTGCACGCAGACTGTTGGTTCCTTGCCTCTCAGACAGATGTACTATGTAAATAAAGTTTGTTCATTCGTTCGTTCGTACTCCGATTTCAAAGGAAGCTCCCAATTAGTCGACTCTTACAAAATGCTTTTGGGCAGGCAGTGGGTCTATTCTTATTTTCCCCACAATGGGGCCCCGGAACCCACACAGGGAGAAGAGGAAGTGAAGAAGAAGAAGAAGAAGAAGAAGAAGAAGAAGAAGAAGAAGAAGAAGAAGAAGAAAAAGAAGAAGAAAAAGAAGAAGAAGAAGAAGAAGAAGAAGAAGAAAAAGAAGAAGAAAAAGAAGAAGAAGAAGAAGAAAAAGAAGAAGAAGAAGAAGAAGAAGAAGAAGAAAACCTAAAACCTACCTGTCTCTGCTGTTCAAACAATATGTCAGCCTCTTCCTTCTCTTTCCGGTACTGTTCTTCCAGTAGCATTAAGCGGCTTTCCATTTCCTTCCGCAGATCGATGCCTTGTTTCTCCAGTAGCTCAAGCTGGGCAAATGTCCAGTCAACAGGTTCGGCTGAAGAGATAAAGAGATTTTAACAAATTTCATTTAAAGTGCTTTTTGACTGTGCTCAGTCTGTGTTTGTGTTGTGAACTGCATATTCAGAAAAAACGTGAGTGGCCTGTTGCCAGAGAACTGGTGGTGCTTTATGCGATTAATTGCCTGTGCAACTACTGATCTGTTGTAACTACTGCTTCCATTGTTGATCAACTGTATTTCTAGTCTTGGACTGCATTTGCTGGCACATCTGATGGTTGCCTTATGCATTTAATGCATGTGCATGCTACTGGCTTTTCTGAGACTGCAGTCTGTGCTGATTTCTCCACAAGGGACAGTAATGGATATCCTGTGTGGCCTCCCCTGGCATAGGAATGCAGCAACTGTGAAGTTACCATTTGCTATGAAGTTGCAACAACAATTACCTGATATTTCAAAGAGATAAACAAAAACCTGGATGGGTTGACTAAATGGATGCAGCGAGACAATAGCACTAATAATTCTTTGCTGTTTGCAACTTTGATGGATCCAAAAATGTGTCATAAGAGCCTAGTCTCAGAAGTTTTGAATAAGGGCGGCTAATGACATCATTCTTTTTCTTCTTCTTCTTCTATTAGGTTTAGGTTTAGATGTCAGATCAACATCATGGCACAAGGGAAGTAACCCATAGGGCACAAAGGAAGTAACCCATAGGGCACAAGGGAAGTAACCCATAGGGCACAAGGGAAGTAACCCATAAGTGCTAAGTTCTACTTCTGACTCAGTGCACGAACTCTGTAGCACCGGCGAGGATGATGAAATACTTTGGGTAGATTGTTAACTCTAAAATTTTTGACCGGGCAGGGCTGTTAGGCTATTCTGTTTTGATTTTTAACTGTCAAGGGATTTTTTACAATGGGCATCCGATCTACCCAGCGACCAGGGAAAATTACTAGAAGTCCACGTGAAAAAATCCAAGCCTTTACTGGGGCTTGAACCCGGGATGTCTTCTTCTATGTTTACCCTTAAAGGCTGGTAGGCACGTTGAAGTTTACAGCTAGACAGAGACAGCTCTAGCCCAACACATACGATTTCAGCAGTCCTAATTAGTTCCCTTTTACAACCAGCTTTCTAAGTGGCAGGGGGATATATTTTTTATAAGCTTTTATTAAGTTCGGTTTTGTTTCACCAAAAAAAAAAAAAACGGTCCCTGGAAGTTCAACATAGAATATGATATGATAACTTCCTGTCCCAATATTCTGTCTTCAGCTCACAATGGAGCAGAGGCTCACAAGACCATACCTCTTGAAGGCGACAAAGCTCTCTTCTAGACTATCACCTTCCAGTCCTCCTCCTCCTCCTCTTCTTCTTCTTCTTCGCATTCACTGCCAGAAAACTCCAGCACATATAATGTTTGTTCATCCATTTCTGGACTTAAGTCTTGCTTCAGAACTTAAGTTTTGCATTCAAATCCATTTTACAGATTTGCTTATTTGTATGCAGACTGTGGGTTCCGCATCTCTCAGGCAGACGCACTCCGACTTCAAAGTGAACACCTAATTAGTAGACTTTCGTGAGATGCTTTTTAGGGGGCCCCTCCCCCTCCCCTCCACATTTTCCTGACCTAAATGGCAGCCCAGAACCCACACAGTTCAAGGTCATGGGCTCAAATCTCTACCCAATCAGATTTCCTTTGGGACAGAAATTACTTTGACTCCCAGGTCAAACCCAGTCTTAAAAAAGGTACCAGTATAGTTCTGGGCCAATCGACTGCCGATCTTCTTCTTCTCCTTCTTCAGCGTTTCGATTTCCTTGATGTTCACTGCTGCAGATATCACCCGACTCCACCCATCTCTCTGGTTGGTCTTCTTCTTCCAGTTGGTGACACCAAGTGTTTGCAGGTCTGTCTGGACCTACTGACTGCCGATCTTCTTTTTCTCCTTCTTCAGCGTTCCGATTTCCTTGATGTTCACTGCTGCAGATATCACCCGCCTTCACTCATCTCTCTGGTTGGTCTTCTCCTTCCAGTTGGTGACACCAAGTGTTTGCAGGTCTGTCTGGACCTACTGACTGCCGATCAGTTTACAAAACAAATGTGTATAGCATCACATTCCCGATAAGCCACTGGTGTAGAGCCGGTCTCGTAATGTTTACTTTAAAAAAAATGTTACTCACTGATGGGGTTGTCTGTTGATTCAATCATCGACTCGCTCATAATGGCACGGCTAGCCCGGGCTGCAGACAAGAAAAAAACAGAGATAAATAAATCAATCACTAAACAACATTACACAACATGCTCCACTAAACGTCTTTTTTTTTTCCTGCTTTTATCCCCCAGTTGAACATGGGCCCTCAACCAACTCACACCACGTGGTCCTGTCTTTTGGCTATTTAAGTAACTGACTATTTGACTATTTACCTATTTTAACTATTTAGCTTTTTGACTATTTAACTACCTGCTGTTTATCTATTTGAACTATTTGATTATTTGCCTATTTTAACTATTTGACTACTTGACTATTCAACTATTTAACTATTTACGTTCAGTAGTTTGCCATTCCTTCTCAACGGACAGCTCTCGAAACCAGAGCCAGCACCATATGTCCAATGACCCTGCGGCGGTAAAAGGGTTGCATAATTGATCTTCTTAGTCCTCCTTTGCTTAGACACCCAAATGTCTCCTTTCAAACATATGATAAATAGCATCTTCATCCCTAGTTTATTCTGTCAGTGCTAGACATAGGCAATGAACAGGGCATTAGAACAGAAAATAACTACATGTGAAATGTGGTGTCTCCGTAAGGTCACTAACAACACAAAAACGGACAGGGTTATGAATAACAACATTAGAGTGAAAGTTCGGATAAGACCATGTCTGGATAATATTGACAGACAAAGAATGAAATGGTTGAGAAACAATGAAATAGTTCAGCCATTTAGTGAGAACGCAGCCAGACCAAACTGCATATGAGACTTTTTACAGCCGAACATCTGGGAGGAAGGTGAGGGGAAGACCAAGAAAGAGACGGATAAATGATGTAGCTAAAACCTGCAAAAAAAAATTAATTAATCCATCACCCAACCCACTCATGAAGTGCAAACAAATACAGAAAACCACAACACTGGGTTACAACCTGGTATCAGTGAGATGACAAAACCACGACACTTGGCTACAAACTGGTATCATTGAGACGACAAAACCATGACACTGGGCTACAACCTGGTATCGTTGAGACGACAAAATCACGACACTGGGCTACAACCTGGTTTCATTGAGACGACAAAACCACGACACTTGGCTACAAACTGGTTTCATTGAGACGACAAAACCACAACACTGGGCTACAACCTGGTATCGTTGAGACGACCAAACCACGACACTGGGCTACAAAATGGTATCATTAAGACCACAAAACCATGACACTGGGCTACAACCTGGTATCAGTGAGACGACAAAACCACGACACTTGGCTACAAACTGGTTTCATTGAGACGACAAAACCACAACACTGGGCTACAACCTGGTATCGTTGAGACGACCAAACCACGACACTGGGCTACAAAATGGTATCATTAAGACCACAAAACCATGACACTGGGCTACAACCTGGTTTCATTGAGACGACAAAACCACGACACTTGGCTACAAACTGGTTTCATTGAGACGACAAAACCACAACACTGGGCTACAACCTGGTATCGTTGAGACGACCAAACCACGACACTGGGCTACAAAATGGTATCATTAAGACCACAAAACCATGACACTGGGCTACAACCTGGTATCAGTGAGACGACAAAACTATGACACTGGGCTACAACCTGGTATCAGTGAGACGACAAAACCACTACACTGGGCTACAACCTGGTATCAGTGAGACGACAAAACCACTACACTGGGCTACAACCTGGTATCAGTGAGACGACAAAACCATGACACTGGGCTACAACCTGGTATCAGTGAGACGACAAAACCACTACACTGGGCTACAACCTGGTATCAGTGAGACGACAAAACCACTACACTGGGCTACAACCTGGTATCAGTGAGACGACAAAACCACTACACTGGGCTACAACCTGGTATCAGTGAGACGACAAAACCACTACACTGGGCTACAACCTGGTATCAGTGAGACGACAAAAACCACTACACTGGGCTACAACCTGGTATCAGTGAGACGACAAAACCACTACACTGGGCTACAACCTGGTATCAGTGAGACGAGAAAACCACGACACTGGGCTACAACCTGGTATCAGTGAGACGACAAAACCATGACACTGGGCTACAACCTGGTATCAGTGAGACGACAAAACCATGACATTGGGCTACAACCTGGTATCAGTGAGACAACAAAACCATGACACTGGGCTACAACCTGGTATCAGTGAGACGACAAAACCACGACACTGGGCTACAACCTGGTATCAGTGAGACGACAAAACCATGACACTGGGCTACAACCTGGTATCATTAAGACCACAAAACCACGACACTGGGCTACAACCTGGTATCAGTGAGACGACAAAACCATGACACTGGGCTACAACCTGGTATCATTAAGACCACAAAACCACGACACTGGGCTACAACCTGGTATCAGTGAGACAACAAAACCATGACACTGGGCTACAACCTGGTATCAGTGAGACAACAAAACCATGACACTGGGCTACAACCTGGTATCAGTGAGACAACAAAACCATGACACTGGGCTACAACCTGGTATCATTAAGACCACAAAACCATGACACTGGGCTACAACCTGGTATCAGTGAGACAACAAAACCATGACACTGGGCTACAACCTGGTATCATTAAGACCACAAAACCACGACACTGGGCTACAACCTGGTATCAGTGAGACAACAAAACCATGACACTGGGCTACAACCTGGTATCAGTGAGACAACAAAACCATGACACTGGGCTACAACCTGGTATCATTGAGACGACAAAACCACGACACTGGGCTACAACCTGGTATCAGTGAGACGACAAAACCACGACACTGGGCTACAACCTGGTATCAGTGAGACGACAAAACCACGACACTGGGCTACAACCTGGTATCAGTGAGATGACAAAACCACGACACTGGGCTACAACCTGGTATCAGTGAGACGACAAAACCACGACACTGAGCTACAACCTGGTATCAGTGAGACGACACTGGGCTACAACCTGGTATCAGTGAGACGACACTGAGCTACAACCTGGTATCAGTGAGACGACACTGGGCTACAACCTGGTATCAGTGAGACGACACTGGGCTACAACCTGGTATCAGTGAGACGACACTGGGCTACAACCTGGTATCAGTGAGACGACACTGGGCTACAACCTGGTATCAGTGAGACGACAGAAGAAGTCCTTCTCTATAGAACTACCTACCTTGTTGTGGGTGGTTGAACCTGAACACGTGGTGTTTGCCCAAGATGACACGGGCTCCAGTCTTCAACACCACTGGTTCTGTAATCTGACGGCCATTGACATAGCAGAGAGCACCCTCATAGGGTATGAGGGTTACAGTGCCTGCAAGAAATAAGGTAACTCTGTCAAAACCTACATTAGCAAGGAGTAACACATTCTAAATCAGCAACAATAACAAAATTATAGTTGTACTCATCACCATCATGTAGCAGGTCCTTTGCAGAACGTCGCTCTCATCACAGTCTGCCTGAAAGAAACTCGGTCTCTCGCCAGCTCTCCCGCCTCATGTACTTTCATACTCAAGGAGTCACTTACATCCTGTGCCCATCTTCGTGTCGGTCGGCCCCTGTCCCTCCTTCCAGGTACCATGCCTTCTGCTACCTTCCAATCCGCACGAGAGCGTCTAGCCACTACGCCACATGGTAGACAATTAATCCTGTTAAGCCACAGTAACTAACAACAATTGCCTGAAAGAAGCTAATGAAAGTAGATCTCTATGTACAACAATAAGAAAGAGACAAACACTGTACTTTGGCCACATAATGAGAAGAGAGACACTGGAGAACATCGTGACAACTGGAAAGATCAGTGGAAAAAGGGGTAGAGGCAGACCAAGAGAGATGATGATGGATGGGCTGAAACGATGGTATGGAGGGATATCATCAAGAGAGCTGTTCCAGTCAACCAGGGATCGTAATCTGTGGAGACGCATGAGCACCCACGGCAGGGCACAATGACGATGACATCCTGTTAATCCTACGTGATGAAAAAATGATATAGCAGGACAGTGATCAAGAAGATGATGATACATAGAGAGGATATATGATAATGATGAAAATTATAAGAAGTTAATAACAAAAACAGGCAGATCAGTTTCTGCATCTCCCCACAACTCACCGTCCTTGTTCTCAAACTGGCAGTGCTCTTCCAGGATGTTGAACCCACTGAGCTGAACATCGTTTGCTTTCTGTGCGTCGTGTAAACCAACTCTGCAAAAACCAAATTTTCATATTACCTTTTAAACCTTAGAGTCCCGAGGAACGCATCAGACCTTCATAGGTTCCTCTGCCTAGAAGCCCAATGAACGTGTGATGCGCTGATTTTTCCTCTATCTCAACTACCCCTTGGGCCTGTGATGCTCAACTCTTTGGGACTCAAAGAGTTAAGTTTGTCTTCCTTTACTTATTCATCCCTTTCCTCTTCAACCATCTTCTAATGATACTTTTTTTTTTCATCCCTCAATGGTGCTTACCTCCCCAATCTCTTTTTCTTACTTGTATCTGTCAGTGGAACCTTCCCCACAACCATCAGCCCTAACACCTCCTTATTCTTCTCCTTTTTTTTAGCTACTGTTGGCCTTCTTCTTCTTCTTCTTCTTCCTCTCTTTCTTCTCCTATTTCTTCTTCTTCTTATTCTTCCCTTCTGCCTCCTTCTTCCTTCTATTTCTTTTTCTTCTTCTCTTTTTCCTCCTCCTTCTTCTCTTCTTCTTCTTCTTGGGGTGTATATGAACATAATATTCTTGATATATAGAATACAACTGCTGTGAAAAACATGAGTGTCTGAAAGGAAAGAAAGTAAGACCAGCCTATGTGCTCAATTTGTGACCTTTTGTTTACCCCCCCCCCCCCCCCCCCAAGTTTGTTGTTTGTTTCTTCTTCTACTTCTCCTCCTCTCCTCCTGTTTCTTCTCCTTTTTCTTGTTCTCCTCCTTCTGCTGCTGCTGTTCCTGCAGCTGCTTCAGCTCCTCCTCCTTCCCCTATTGCTCCTCTTTCTTCATCTTCTTTCGCTTTATCTCTCAAAGCAGCACAAGGCTAGCTTTGTTGCATAAAATCCACTAATTTAAATAAGAAAAACTGAATGTTCTTTTTTACAAAAATGTTTTTTTTTTAATAAACACACACAAAACTACTTTGTTGCATAAGACTAGTACTGTGCAGGAACAGTTTTGTTGCAAAGATCTAGCAAGCTGAAGCCACCTGACTGACCTGGTAGTTCCTTCCTTGATGTAGTAGAGCAAACACTCGGACATCAGCGGGTCCTCATTCAGATTGACCAGGTGAGGGGACTGGATGGAAACACACAAGTCACAACTTAACCAAGGACAACTACAGGTTAACCTTTTTAAAAAACAAAGATAGGGAAAACGTAACACATATATCAGCGTCACAGAAACAATTAACAGAAACAAATGAAGGGTGGTGTAGCCATGATTAGCCTTCACCAGTCATTTTAAAAACTGTCCCTTACCCTGACCCCAAACATAACCCTGACCTAACTTGAGCTGACAGATTCAAATCTGACCCTAAACATGACCCTAACCCTGACCCCAACCATGACCCTGACCTACCCAAAGATTCAAATCTGACCCTAAACATGACCTTAACCCTGACCTACCCTAAGCTGACAGATTCAAATCTGACCCTAAACATGACCCTAACCCTGACCTACCCTAAGCTGACAGATTCAAATCTGACCCTAAACATGACCCTAACCCTGACCTACCCTAAGCTGACAGATTTAATTCTGACCCTAAACATGACCCTAACCCTGACCTACCCTAAGCTGACAGATTCAAATCTGACCCTAAACATGACCCTAACCCTGACCTACCCTAAGCTGACAGATTTAATTCTGACCCTAAACATGACCCTAACCCTGACCTACCCTAAGCTGACAGATTCAAATCTGACCCTAAACATGACTTTAACCCTGACCTACCCTAAGCTGACAGATTCAAATCTGACCCTAAACATGACCCTAACCCTGACCTACCCTAAGCTGACAGATTTAATTCTGACCCTAAACATGACCCTAACCCTGACCTACCCTAAGCTGACAGATTCAAATCTGACCCTAAAGATGACCCTAACCCTGACCTACCCTAAGCTGACAGATTTAATTCTGACCCTAAACATGACCCTAACCCTGACCTACCCAAAGCTGGCAGATTCAAATCTGACCCTAAACATGACCCTAACCTACCCTAAGCTGACAGATTTAATTCTGACCCTAAACATGACCCTAACCCTGACCTACCCTAAGCTGACAGATTTAATTCTGACCCTAAACATGACCCTAACATTGATATTTTCCTCTTCTTTGTTTACTGGCTGTAAGCTCAGGCGGAAAGTCCTGGTTTTTCGTCCATTTGGAGTTTGGCTTTGTGCCAGGGTCGGAGTTGTGCGTGTACATCGTTTTACTGGCTTACTCGAGTGCTGTTGAAAATTCCTAGCCACTCTGCCAGACCCACTCTGACTCTGAAGGAAGCTCCCAAATAGTCAACTCTTAGGATATGCTTATTTATTTTTCCAGGAGACAGTGAGTCTATTCTTGTTTTCCTCAAAATGGGGTCCGGACCTATAGTGGATAACCCTGAGATGACCCTCATTCTAACAGGGATTCTCAAGATGTCATTGGGTTGTGCCCATTTACAGCATACTGACAGGATATTTGCTCCTTTTGGCCGACACATCCGACTTCTGCCAGCATTTGTTGACCAGTCAGTCTTCCTGAATAACTGGAATTCAAACCTAATCCTGACTTCTGATAAGGATTCAATCATACAATGAGGCCACCAGAAACCTGGATGTTTTCACAGACCAATTAAAACCCAATGCATAATTTGGTCAATATCATAACGCCCCCTGTAGTTTTAAAACATGGCCATTTGTTAAAAGGAAATCAAGAGAATAAGAAATAAAGGAGAAAATCATTGCAGATACCGTGAGAGCTGAATGTCTGAGAAGATGCAAGAATTAGATACATAGGATGGCAACAATGGTCCTGAAAGCCTATGCACAATCAGGTGACTCGTGTTGTGACCCCGTGACCTCTATCACTGAGGCTTGCAGAAAAAGTGTATGTCAACCTGGCTTAACAAAATATATTGGACTCTATTTGATTCATATTCAGAAAACAGACTAAATGTTACATTTAGTCACTATATGGGAAAACCTGACTGCAGTGAAGGTGAAACCTTGACTAATCCTACCCCACAGCCCAAAAAAATCTTTCAGAAACAACTATTTTACACAGATAACTTCTTCCTCTTCTTCTTTCGTTCACCTGAAATAAGTTGTCTACATCAAAAATTTAGTCTCTGGTATGAATTTCACTGTCATTAGTTCATTCAGTGGTCCATAGAGTTTACGTTAAACTTTCTGGCCAAAAGGTTTGCCTTAATGTGTCGAATTCGGTGCAGTCCTGGAGTACATTCTCTGCTTCTGACACCTATAACTAATAAATTGTTTAAACATTTATTTATCTACATTTTGATTTAATTTTAGTTTTGAAATATATAAAGATGCATAAAATGAGTAACCTGTAAACAAAAACAAATTGAACCATACAATGGAATGTATTCTAGGGCCTAAAACAAATATGTATCAGGTGACTCATTCTGTGACCCCGTGACCTCAAACACTGAGGCTTGCGGGAAAAACTGTATGTCAACCTGGCTTTACAAAAAAGCTATTGGATTCATAGGGAAAACCCCTCTAAATGCTATATTTAGCCACTATATTCACATTCAGGCCTCCTAAACACAATGCAGGGTCACACACAACCAACCGCATTTAACTATGCTTTTCAAGAGCAGGTAACTGCAGAAACGTAGACATATCATCATTTATGGGATTGTGTCGAGGCGACAGGGTTAGGCGTCACACTCACTATCGCCATGGGCTGTGACTCTGATGACTCCCTACAGCCCAATGCAACAGCCTCTCTCTACAGCCCAATATAACAGCCTCTCTGCAGCCCAATGCAACAGCCTCTCTCTACAGCCCAATATAACAGCCTCTCTCTACAGCCCAATATAACAGCCTCTCTCTGCAGCCCACTAAAACAGCCTCTCTCTGCAGCCCACTAAAACAGCCTCTCTGCAGCCCACTAAAGCAGCCTCTCTGCAGCCCACTAAAGCAGCCTCTCTGCAGCCCACTAAAGCAGCCTCTCTGCAGCCCACTACAACAGCCTCTCTGCAGCCCACTACAACAGCCTCTCTACAGCCCACTACAACAGCCTCTCTACAGCCCACTACAACAACCTCTCTACAGCCCACTACAACAGCCTCTCTACAGCCCTATACAACACCATCCCTACAGCCCAATATAACACTGTCGTTAAGATGGAGAGATGCAAACAAAAAAAAAGTCCCATAACCCAGACCCTTAGATCTCACGACAAACGTACCTTCTTTGGAGAAAACACACCAATTGTTCCTCCGTCCTCCTTCAACGCAACACCCATCTCAGCCAGCACTGCTTCTCTGGGAAACAGAACAGAACAGACTGCATCAGTGTTATTTTCTTTTCTTTTACTTTCTGTGCTGTCTCCGCAATAAAGATTGCCAACAGTGACACACTGTTGTCTTTGTGAATATTAACCTCTTCCACGACACGACTCTCGTACCATTGTCAGAAACCTACAAAAACAGATTTTTGAAATCGCCGTCCGCGGGGAACAAACCCTAGTATTAAAAGATTATGAAACTGTTAACTGCGTTCACTAACTTGTAGGCAGTGAAAGTGCAGAGACTGTATCAGTTAGAGATATTTAAATCACAGCCCAAAGAGCATGAACAGCTCTCATAGTACTAGAGCATCTGTGGAAATTCTCATACATTAAATAAATAAACGAAATCCGATAAATGCTCCGTTTCTAACTTTAGCAGCCAGCACAGAGTTCCTATACTGGTTGTAGTCTGACTACATATTTGTGTTACCTTTCCTACTCTATGAACAAGATCAAGCTGGGTATATGCAAAGAGGATGGTAGCAATCATTTCAAACAGCATTGCTTCGAATCATCCACTTCCTTTTTTGTCCTAGAAACATGCTGGTGTGAGAGGCAACAAAAGGGTGGATGCCCTTGCAGGCACAGTCAACCTGGGAGGTGGATAAATGGAGATAACAGCACATGCTGAAGACCTCAAACGTGAGGATAATGACCTCTCTCTGACTCGTATCTGGAGTTTGAGTACATCAATTGGGACCACAAGATGTGACGAAGAAGAAAGAAGAAGAGGAGTTGAATGTTGAATTAAGAATCTAGATCACAGCACTCCGGACACTCCCATAATTGCTCAGTCCCTATCTTCAGCAGCAAGCGAAGAGTTCCAATTCCAATGGTACCAGTAACCGTCTTGTATATCCGTCTCATCCTTCCCCTGAGTGTTGAGCGACAGCCAGATCCCCTGGTAACTCCTCGCAGCGCCATTCTCCTTAGACCGTAATGATCTGTCTGCGCCTCCGCACTGTTCACCCGCTCCCAAAGAGCCCTCACAATATCCAGCTTGTCATACATCAATTCACCACCAAGTGGTGCAGAGCCAGCCAGTCTATCCGTCTGCTCATTTCCTAACACACCGGCATGACTTGGAAGAAATATCCAAAGGATGCTAACTACCCAGGACCTCTGAAGTGATGCTTGCCACTCTGCGTGAAGCATGCCTGTTTTCACCTTTCTCAACAAGTCCTAGGAGGAGGAGAGTGAGGAGAAGAAGAAGAATAAACAGAACTAACAGAAAACATATGCAAACTAATAATTAAGAAATTGAAAACAAAAATAATAAGGAAATAATATTCAGTCAATCACGTGCCGCCTGCACAGTGAAGGTTGGTTACAATAGATCCCCAACACGCTCTGTCTCTTGTCCTGGTTGTACACTCTCTCAGACTGTTAGTCCGTCTCTTGAAGTCATCCTCCCACTTGTATCGTAGCCTACCTCTTGCCATCAACCTTTCCCACCAGTAAGGAAATTATATTAGACTATAAAATGATATACCTTTCTTTCCTAATAGCTTCTGTCTTCCGAAGTTTCTCCTCCCATGAGAGGTTCAGTTCTGCAATGAGCTTCTCCGATTCCTTCAGCCTCTCGAGAGCATCATCGCCAGTTTCCAGAGTCACGGAGTCTTTTCGTGATCGGGACCTTCCTCGCTGCTCCAGAAACTCCAGCATGCTTTGACCTGGGCAAGAATTGTGTTCATACATTTCAACAACAATTCAGTTTGATACCCAGCATTAAAAAAATAACAATAAAACAGAGGGCATGACATAACTTCTTCT